ACGGTACCAGCCCAATCGCAAAGGATTTTCTTTTCCCTGATAACATTCCACGTTTCTTTAGAAGAGAAGATATTCTTACTTAGTCCCTTGATGTTAATTCATAAGGATACATCCTCAACAGCAACCCTACTGTTTCGACTCTTCTCAATCTCTTCCTCCACCTTGTTTAATAACCAGACACGGTGATTCCTCCTCCTATGCATCCAACTATCCTCTACTGTAGCATTGAACGCTATACCCAAATCAATGCGGCTTCCATCACTCAGCAGATCCTTTAAACAACCCAAAGAGGACCAATGCTCAAACCAAAAAGAAGCCTTCTTCCCGTTTTTTACATCAACCCTGTAAAACTTCTTAGCTAGATCCCTGCATTTCAGAATCTTCTTCCACATCCAGGATCCCATTTGTGTTGAATCTTTTACCATCCAGAATGAGCTCTTACGAATCAAGTATATCTTAACCCAGTTAACCCACAATGATTCTGAGGAAAGGATTCTCCAAATCAACTTTAAACAACTCACAGTGTTCATTTCTCTCAAACTCCTTAGACCCAAACCCCCCCTCTTCCTTCGTGCTACAAATATCAGCCCACGAGACCTTCGCCTTCCTGTTATTTAACTCCGGACCTGACCAAAGAAATGCAGAGCATAGCCTCTCAACCTCCTTAATGCAACCACTAGGGAGTCTGAACGCAGCCAACCAGAAATTTGCAAGGCTAGTAATAACAGATTTGATCAATTGGAGTCGCCCTGCATATGAAAGAAAACGACCCGTCCACGAACCTAAACGCTTTCTTATCTTCTCAATCAAGGGCATATAATCGAGAACTGTCATATTTTTTGTTAAGAGAGGAAGGCCAAGGTAGTGAACCGGGAGACTACCTGTTTCAAAAGGAAAGTGCCTAAGGATCTCTTCTTTTTTCTGACTAGAGACACCTGCCAAGAACAGCGTAGATTTCTCCATACTGATCCTAAGCCCCGACATCTTGTCAAACGAGTCAAACACTAGCAGAATCTCCTCAATAGATTCCTTAGTGCCATCTCCAAATATCATCAAATCATCAGCAAAACACAGATGAGTCAAACCGATATTTTTACACTTCGGATGAAACCCAAGTCTTCCTTGTCTTGCTGCCTCATCAATCAACTTTGACAAGACATTCATACAAATTACAAAGAGGTACGGGGATAAAGAGCACCCCTGACGCAACCCCCTCTTGCTCTGAAAATAGCCAGCTAGTTCCCCATTCACTTGCACGGAGAAAGAAGTAGTAGTGACACAAAGAGAGATCCAATGAACAAACCTCTCAGGGAGACCCATTGCCTTCAAAATATTAATTAAGAACGACCATTGGACCGAATCAAACGCTTTGGAAATGTCTATCTTCATAGCACACCTCGGTGAGATTGAGTCTTTGTGATAGTCCTTAACTAACTCTGTCGCCAACAAGACATTCTCCATGAGTAGCCGCTCCTTAATGAAAGCGGATTGGTTCCAAGCAATACACTTCGGCAAGATGACCTTTAACCTCATCGCTAAAATCTTTGAAATCAACTTATATAGAACATTGCAGCATGAAATAGGCCTATAATCTCTCATTACCTTAGCATCACTCTTCTTTGGAACTAAAGCCAAGATGGTAGAGTTAAGACCCTTAGGCAAAAATCCTTTAAGGAAGAAAGACTGCACCGCCACAGTAACACTATCACCGATAACAGCCCAAGCTTCTTTAAAGAATTCCATTGTGTATCCATCTGGCCCCGGGGCTTTACTTCCAGGCATCTTGAATAGGACCTCCTTGATCTCCTCTTTAGTTACTTCCTTCATCAGTTTCTCACAATCAGTATCACTACACTTGAAACCCAATAGATCACTAAGTCTCTCAATAGTTGACCCTTCAAAACCTTGAGGTATCGCAGACAAAAACTCCTCAAAAAAAGAGACAGCTTCAGCTTTGATTTCTTCCGTTGTTGTTACTATTTTCCCATCAGAGCATTGTATCTCATAAATAGAGTTCCTAACCTCCCTTAACTTTGCTGCATTATGGAAAAATCTATTATTCCCATCCCCCACATCCAACCAGAATAGCTTCGATTTTTGTTTTAAGAATTCTTCCTCAATGACAGCAAGTCTCTGCCAACTCTCAAAGGCTTTACCTTCTTCCTTTATATTATCAGTGTTTGGATTCTCTAAGGTAAGCTTCTGCCTCTCACACAAATAGCCCAACGCTTCCCTTGTCCTTCTTGATAAATCCCCCAATTTAAGCTTACTAAGAGATCTCAGCGGTTGCTTAAACGACTTTAAACTCTTAGATAACCTAAAAAGTGCAGATGTTGAGTGAAAAAGCACCTCTTGGTCACTCCAAAACTCTTCAACCAGAGGAAGAAACTCTGGCATCTTAGTGATGGCATTTGTAAATTTGAATGGCCTCCTCTTTCTCTCCTCCTCATTTTCGAAATGGATTCTGCAACGCAAGTGATCTGAGCAACCGCCTCCCTCAAAAACACTGTACACTTTCTTTCCATGGAGCCATTCCTCATTGATTAAAACTCTATCCAACTTTTTACATATTAATCCATCTTCTCTCTTGTTACACCATGTCAACAAAGGACCCTGAAAACCCATATCCGACAATCTGCAAAAATTCGCTACCTGCTGAAATTCTCTCATCCCCACAGGTTGTCTTTGTAGATTACCAAATTCCGAATGCTCATTATCCTCTAATATTTCATTAAAATCTCCCATGATCACCCACCTCTTTTTCCTGAACATTGGAGCCTCATAATGATCTTTAATCTCTGTCCATAACCTTCTTCTTTCCTCTATAGTGTTCAGAGCATAGACAAAAGAACATAGAAACTCCTCTGAATCCCCTGGTAGCAATATCGAACATGTAATTAACTGGTCACTCTTATAAACCGGTGTCACTCGAACTGAATGCTTCCAAATTACCCATAACCTCCCTAGCTTATTATATTCATAATTAGCCATAAACTCCCAGTCTTGAAAAACACTAGAAACAATCCTCATAGCTTTATTTTCCTTCACCCTAGTTTCAATCATACATCCAAAAAGAAAATTATTACTCCTGACCCAACTTCGAACCACATTATGCTTAGTAGATTGGTTGAATCCCCTAATGTTCCAAAAAAACCCTACCATCAGAGATTTTTTGCAGAACCCTTTCCCATAGCCTTAGATTGTCTAGGAAGATTCAACCTCGGCCTACCCCTCCTAGTCACTTTTATTTTCTCACCTACACTCTCTTCAATTTGACTTTGATACAAATCCTCCGCAGTTTCAATCTCCTCTACCTCCGTTACTTCTATCTCATCCATAGTTATCTCATTTCCAAATTCATCCGCAGAGCTTAATGTTGCAAATCTCGAAGGAGTTGCTATAATCTCCTGTGTTGAATGTGTTTTAAGACTTCTACCAGCTTTTTCTATCGAGACTTCTTCCCAAGGATTACCCTCACTATTCTCCAATTTTTTGTTCTCTCCAGTCACTTCCTCATCCCCCTTGTTACCATTCAAGTAAGTTCCACCACTCCACCTTCCACAACTTCAGTATTCTCTAGCTCCTCTATCATATTCGAAGATTCACCCTTAGCTTCCAAATTTCCTTTCTCAACATCATCCTCAATTTTCTTTGCCTTGCAAAATGTATCAAAATGACCCCACCTTCCACATTTTATACATTTCGGAGGCAGCCCTGGATAAGCAAATTTGATAGTAGTGTCAACCCCTTGAATCACATAATCAATCTTTTCTGGAAGTTCTTTAGTCAAATCAGCCATAACAAAAACTTTAGCAACCTTCAAGTTTGAACAAGCCAAAGTATACGGGTGTAAATGATCAGGAACTCCAGTAGCACTCGCGATGAAGCTTAAACCCTCCCAGGAATACATGCTCAGAGGAACATTCGTCACATGTACCCAAAGAGGAGTAAGCCCCGCCTTTGATTCATCCTCCACCGGAGACCAATAAGAAACAACAATCGGAACTCCCGCAACATTCCACACTCCTCTCCCCACCACTTTCCTCCTAATCTTTTCATTTGGTATCCGAATCCTCATTGTATGCTCATCCATCACGTACACATCCAGTTTCTGATTTGTTTCCCCATACGCCCAGATCTTATTGACAATCATGTGTACCTTTGCTACATGAGGTGCCGTCTCCAGAAACCTTGCTATGACAAAGTCATCCCACAGAGGATTTCCCTTCTCAACGATATCCGATGGTACCTCAACCTTCTTCTTCCCTTCCGATTCCGAGATCGCGAAATCGTACTTCTTCAAAACTTGCTTACCCTTCGCTACAGTGACCCAAGGTCCCTTCGGATGATCAATAGTCGGTGGATTATCCGTCGGAATCACCACCGGAGTCGCCTCTACGGCCATCGAGCAGCCGAGAAACGAGAAACTGTAATCTCCTTTTTTTCGCCAAAATCGCCCTTATCAGAACGCAGCGTTTTTAGGTGTAATTGCACCTATCTGGATGTTAAACAACACCCACTGGATCATATATTCTTCTTAATTTGGCTTTTGAAAGACAATTGTAACAGACATGTTGTACTCTGTTATAGGAGAAATGTCTTTAAGATCCCATAAATGAAGAATCACACTGCCTACTTTGCTCCTTTACCAAATGTGTCCAAGTTGTTTGCTTTTAAGATCATCCATGAAACCTGTCACTGTTCAAACAAACCAGAGTTTGTCTCATTGAGAGACTCAGATATTCAATGTAAATTTTACTCAAATCACAATTTAGAAAGTCTTTTTTTTTTAGTATGTGAGCAAATTGTTCAGAACCAAAGTTTGTATCTGCACTTGTGTTGAGTAATAAGAAGAAGAGCCGGTAGTTATTTGATACGAAAACAAAAGAGGAAATGTTATTTTGATTTCTTAGTATGTTCATTTTGAAACTCGTTCTTTTTATAACTAAATTTCATGGGAAGCCATTAGATCCGTAGACTGTAAAAGAAGATAGAAACGGCTTCGAACAAAATCAAAATAGACAGAAAAAAATAATTGTAGACTTGTCTTTAATAGATAATACATCTCACAAAGTATGGCAAAACCATTACAAAACATGAAACAGCTTACATCTCAGATGTATTGTCAACAGAGTTTATTCAAAATACTTCCTAAAACCCCCTGTTTGTACCATCATATACACATTATGGTATAAAACATTAGCAGAAGGAATCAAGCCTGGGCGGTTTGTCCAGCTGCTGCTGCAGCCCCGTTTGTTTTCAGTCGCTTCTCCTTGTAGTCTTTCACAGCTGCTTTGATGGCGTCCTCGGCTAGCATACTGCAATGGAGCTTCACTGGTGGGAGAGAGAGATGCTTGGCAATTTCGCTAGAAAATTACATCACAAAAAGAAAACCACACATTCAATTATTGAGATACTCCATTGTCGTAAAATAGTTATTCTCAGATAACGTGGGCATCTGCTGGAAAACCTTATGTACCACACTAACCAAGTAACAAATAGACCAAGTCTAATTACTGATTTCCTCAAAATACAAAATAACAGTTCAAGCTAAATGGCCGCATATTAACAATCAAAGAGTGAAGACACCCCAAGTTCACGTAATGCAACAACTCAAAACATACTTATGTTAACGCCTTCAGAACACGAACATGAAGACAAAAGCACCTTTTGTCTTCGGTAGTAGTGTATATGACAGATCAGAACAACATTTGTTAACTTGTAAGAGACAAGCAAAGGGTACTTACGTGTTCTTGATGGTCAGAACTTCCTCCATAGCTTTGCCTTTCACCCATTCAGTGGCTATAAACATTACGATTAATCAAACTGTATACCTCAAAAATAGAATCAGACATGCCAGAGAGAAGATAGAACAAGTTGATACCACGCACAAGAACCATAAGAAATAAATCATCGATAAAGGAAAACACTTCACAAGAATCTTTGACAAGGATACATGTCATTACACAAAACCTGACCAATGTGTCAGTCCCAACTCATGCCCTAATTCGAAAATTGCCTCCACAAGAACCAATCAATTTAGATACCTAATCCATCAACGACCAATCAACTTCAAACCCAATTCATCAAAAGCCCAATCAATTTCAAAACTAATTCAACAAGAACCAATAAAAAAACAATCAATTTGAAAACAACAAATCAAATCCGCTAAAGATGGAAACATACCGACAGATGAAGAAGCGATAGCGGAGCCACAACCAAAGGTCTTGAACCTCGCATCAACGATCTGACCAGTCTTCTCATCGACCTTGATCTGAAGCTTCATCACATCACCGCACGCGGGAGCTCCAACGAGGCCCGTACCGATGCTGGGATCGTTCTTATCGAAAGACCCGACGTTGCGGGGGTTATCGTAGTGGTCGATGACGTTCTCGTGGTAGGATCGGGAGATGCCAACGGACCACGGGGTTGATTGGCGTGACGTAAGCCCTAGGGCCTTCTTCGCAGCTTGCCTGAGCATCATCGTCGTCGATTAGGGTTTGTTTGTGTTAGAGAGAGAGGGCCCTTTCCTTTATGGGCTACGAAGAAGGCGGTTCGGTTTAGATTAACGTCGGACACGTGTACGGTTCTCTGATTTTTGTATTTTGTTTTTAATATTTTAGCTAATTAGATAAGACATTTTCTTCCATTTATTTTGTGCCTTTCGAGTTTGGACTTAATTTAAAATAATTAAATATTTTCATTACAAAATGCTGACCATGGATAACTCATAAAAATTACTGTAGAGTAAACAAAACCCTTTTCTGGCCGACAGTTTTCGTTTTTATTTATCGTTGAAGCGGTGACGCTTCATTTGCTTTTCTCTTCTTAGAACAAAAAATAATAATTTGGCAAAACTAGAAAACATTTATCCGACCTGCCGGAATCGAACCAGCGACCTAAAGATTTGCTATCACAGACTACAGTCTTCCGCTCTACCAACTGAGCTAAGGTCGGATGTTGTATCATGTTAACTTTTAATTTATTTATATTCTTTAGTTTTCATGAGATATGCAGCAATCAATGAAACGCCTAATGAACTTTGTCCTCACATCACTAAACAGTGTTTACAGAATCTGGTGGTACATCTTGGTCTCAAACCAGTTTCGTTCCCTCATTGGTCCCGTTCTAAGCAACATTACTCTCCATTTCTCTTCTTGGCTTTACAGTAATGCAATCTTCATCACCTCTTCATCCTATACCAGATAATCACATGTCATCTTCAGACTCTTCTTCTCTATGACTTCGCTCGCTGCTTTACACAATGTAAATCCGCATTTTGTAATTTACACAATACACAATCAATAATGATATGCCAATATGCCATCATATATTTAACATTTTACCCCAAAAAAATGCCATCATATATTTGAAATAATGATACATAGTGAAGAATGTTCGGAAGCTGAACTAAATAAAAGAAAAAAAATTATGAAGGATAAGATATAATATTACAGTACTAGGGGAAGTCTGCGCTTCGTGCGAAATTTGATATTTGTCAACAAAAAAAATTAAAATTGTTTGTAAGTATATTGGACGTGTAATTTTTTTGATTTGGACCTATATGTTGCATGATTCTTTTGCAAATATTGTAGTTTCGTATATGCGCTGTGGAAATGTGATCATATGTCATTGTTTATATTTATGCAAGATTAGAATGAGAATTTTTATACCTTCATCGAAACTTGTTTACCATTTCTCTTTAATTCTTATGTTCAGACCTGGTGCTTGGTAATTATTAAAGAAGTTGAAATGATTTTGAGTTAGTTATCATTTTTGAAATCCTACTCCAACAAAATTACCTAACATATTTTGCTTGGTTATGAAAACAAAATTTACCATTTCTCTTCTAGTAGAAGGAAGTGTTACACCGGTTTTCAATTCAAAGTTGTAGTGGTGACATGTGATACTCTTTTTTCGTACTATTTGCCACATAACATTAAGGTTAGTTACTCTAACTCTACGGAGTGTTTTCTTGATGTGCTTCTAAAAATTGTCAACTTTGTTTGTTTAGTTTTCCTCCAAGTTTCTCCAACATTGGCTAACCAACCATGGACTTTTTCATGCATAACATTATTATATAGGTAAATAGCTCTGTCTTAGAACATGATTATCAATGGTCCTTATCATGGTCTTTATTAATTTTTGGCCCAAAAAATGAAAAAGGAGTAATTTATTAAGGATTGTGTGGGAAAGTCCCAGAATAAGAAGTTTTTGAGCTAGTCTTTAATGCCACGCGTCAACATTATCGTGGTACTCTCTCTCATCTCTCTCTCTCCCGAGTTCGTGAAATTCCTGGGTTTCAAATCCAAATTGTCTGATTGATCTCTCCTCACGTTCTTTATCACTCTCCTCGATCCAGAGAATTTTTGTTTCTGGAGAATTTTGATTTCAAATTCAAATCGAAACCGTCTGATTTCTGGAGAATGTGAATCATTGTTTCTGGAGAATTTTGATTTCGAAGAAGAATAAGAAGAAAAAGCAGTGATTGTGGAAGAGAAGAGGAGATAAAAATGGCGAAGCCTCTGGGTACTACCGGCGAGTTTTTCCGGTGAAGAGATGAATGGAGAAAGCATCCGATGCTCTCGAACCAAATGAGACACGCTCTTCCTGGTCTCGGCATCAGAGTCGCAGCCTTCTTAATAGATTACTTTTATAATATGTTTGATAGTGATTGTGTTCTTAGCATCCGATACTTTTATAATGTGTTTGATAGTGACCCGTTTTCATAGTTGTTCACATTGTTTCTGAAACCTTTCAGATTTGCTTGTAGTTTACTTAGACAAGAGATGAAGGAGATCATCATAAATCTTGACACACCACATATCAAAGCATTGGAGAAAGCTGGAGAAGAAGATGTTATTTTCTGCAGATCATCACCCAAGCAAAAGGCATTGGTAATACTAACGGCACGTTTATGCGTTTATTGAGTTTTAGTATGTTTAGCTGATATAAGATTTGTTTTTCCAGGTTACACGGTTGGTCAAAACTGGGACAGGGAAGACAAGTTTAGCTATTGGAGATGGAGCAAACGATGTTGGAATGCTTCAAGAAGCAGATATAGGTGTTGGAATCAGCGGTGTTGAGGGAATGCAAGCGCTTATGTCTAGCGACAATGCCATTGCTCAGTTCAGATACTCTCGTCCATGGTCACTGGTGTTACTGCAGAATCTCATCCATGGTACAGCTCTTTAGATAAACTCTAATACATCATCACAATTTCTATAACTAGGGTTTTTTTTTTCACTTGGGCAGATATGTTACTTCTTCGACAAGACATCATTTTTGGTGTGACCATCACAAAAATAATTAATTTACTTAGAGACCATTAAAAGTTCTACCAATAATCTACACTTTTTAGATTGTCCCTAACATTTGTCTTTAACACCACAATAATATTAAAATAAGTTAAGGACACTCAATTTGGTCCTATCAATAATCATGTTCTTACAATCACTTTGATGTTTGCGATTTTATAGTTTGAGGTATATTAGTGTTTTATTTTTTGAGAAAAGGGATTTTCGAGGCATATTAGCTTACTTTCTATAAAGTTATAGGGGATATTATATGTTAAGATTTCTTATGATTTTTTTTATTTTGATTGTTTTTAAAAGATATTGATTTTCTGTTATTTTCTATAGTTTTATAATCTTATTTTATTTCCAACTGTTTTACAAATTTATAATTTTTCAGTTTATATTAAACTCAATCATTCCAATAAATAATTCAGTACATACTCTCATAATTTGAATATTTAAGTTTGAATACTTTTAGTTTCACTAATAATATAGTTTCAAAGGAAAAATATAAGTATTCTTACATAACACTATTTGATGCTCGTATAGAAACTATTTATAATTAAATACGAACATAATAAATTGTATAAATTTCACACAACTATTTCTTATAGGTTTATATAATAATATGTAGAAAAAGTTAAAATATATATATATATATATATATATATATATGATAAATGTTCTTTAAGCACCTCTCTCCTCTTAAGCACCTCTCTAAGCACCCTTGGATAAACATGCTCTTAGACTCCTAATAGGACAAGCACGGCACTGCCGGTGAGGCTGAGGCTTTGTCTCTTTCGCCTATTGTTAAACAATTTAATAATAAAAATTGATTTTGAATGTTTGATTTATTTTTAACTAAAAGTAGAATTAACATTTCTTACAACAGTTACACAATTTATTTTACTATAGACTTAAAAGTATAATTATTTTCTTTTAATTTTTATTCTAATTTAACTATAACAATAGGTTACAAAAAGACTTTAAATTACAGTTTATTGGAAAATTTATTTTTGCTCTCAATTATATATTTGTTTCAAGATTTAAATTGTGTTTTATACATTATTTCTTAGAACTAATGATATACACTATATAAAAGAAGTAACTTATTCATTATAACTAAAAATATTTAAAGATATATAAATAAATAATATGAAAATATCTTTTATATAATACATATTTGTTAGAATCTTATATATCAATATAATTTATTATAACTGACTTTTTTGTCACAAAAATAATTATAACTGACTTTTTTGTCACAGAAATAAATATTACTGACTTAACTTATAAAATATAATCCTTGGAATAAATTTATTATATACGGACTTGTGTTGATTATGGTTTATTGTTGAATAAAATTATTTCTTTTCCTTAATAGATATCTCTATATATGCAAAGTTAAATTATGTAAATTGACTATGATAATGATTTAGCATACATGTATCAGGTGTAGATGATAAAGACGTTTGTTACAGACGACGGTTGCTTGATGTTAGACAATTATTACAGAAGACTCAAGGCAAGAAATCTCAGAGAAAGAGGAAACAATTGTTCTGCTTCATTGCCTCTTCAGCAAACTTCAGATGAGTACAGATGCAGTTCATGAATCTCAAATGCCGTTTTGGATAGGATTTGGCAGAGGTCTCTTAGATCACAATACATGTCCTCAGCTATCCTCTCGTAAGCCTCATAATCCAGCAGATGACCAGCATCAGCAGCCAGGATATTGTTGAGCTTTGTTATGTCACCATAGAAACTTAATGAAAACAGTTTCGTCCGGGTCAGCAGCAACAGTCATCTCCACACAATACCTAATAGACATGGTACAATGTTTTAGATACATTGTCATAAAGAAACAACTAAAACCGCTGTGTACCTGAGAACACCAAGGTCATCACTCTGATAGCAGAACATGCATGCAAACGATAGGAATCCTCTGAAGTTTCCTTGCACACTTGGAGCAAGATATGTAGCACCATACATTTATATGAGTACATAATACTTTCCCAGTGCAGATACATTCTATTTTATGCAATAATGGATGTTGCAATCATAAAAAGAACATAGAATGATGGTGGAGACAAACCTATTAAAGGTTGTCAGTGAACCTAAGGCTTGGCTATGATGACAAACTGGCTAAGCTCAGCTATTGTCAGTGGCTCAATCTTGGCATAGCCTCTCAACAATGAAGCTGTTGATGTAGTCCCATTGTCGTTAGTGACCAACCAGCAATGATTAGAGTATCCTGTGAGAGTATGTTCCATATATAATTTTACAAAACGTATAATGATGTAATAAAATATGAACGATCAGTTCTTAATTGTAAATGTAGCTCTCAACAAAAACTTATGGCGAATAATGTTACAACAATGATCATATCCCAAGTAAGTAACAAAAACTTCAGGAGAATAATTTTTTATAACGGAGACATGAATAAATTGATCTCCGGTTAAGAACTATTAGGTTTGAAAGTTTTGTAATATAAACATGGACAACGCGAGGAAGAACTAAAAAAAACAGAGAACAGACCTTACCGCCGCGCTTAATATTCATAGCTTCTCATAACCTTAAGCAAACGGACCGCTGCAAATTGGCCAGAAAGACAGAGGAATTATCCATTATGAAAATTGTTTATTAGAAAGCTTATGAATGTGAAGAAAGAACTAATGCATTTCATGGGGTCAAGCATACCTTTTTATATTTGAAGTTTCTGGCGGAGTCAGTAAATGAGAAGCATTGAAGGATATATTGACGATGGTTGAAGACGAAATCATCAAACGCGACCACCACTCAACCACTGTCACCTACAAAGAAAAAATCTTCAAGAACCACACCGCTGCGATTGGAGGTCATGCGCTCGACGTTTGCGGCAAGTTCATGCCGTCTCCTTCCGATCCAACTTCCCTCAAGTGTGCCGCCTGCGTTTCCCCATTAGCTTCCACCGCCGTGACCCTGACGATTCCTCACTCACTTCCGCCGTGACTCCACCGTATCTTCCTCCATCTTCCACCACCGATTAAATAGAGTACCAATATCACACTGTCAATTAACATCATTTCCTTCCCAGAATATCAGAAGGCAGTGTCTGAACAAAGTCTTCAAACCAGAGAGAAGAGTGTAAGAATCCATCGCAGGGATGAAATACATTTATAGTCGAGAAATCATAGTCGAGCTTCCGACGGTTACTAATGAGGATGAGTTAGTGCAAAAGAGTGAGCGGATCAACTTTTATGCTTGGGTAAATGGATCTGCTTGCCTAAAGCTAACGACGTTACAGAGGCGTTGCGTAGGTTTCAGATTCCAAGAGTCAAGTCAAGTCGCTTAAAAGCAGAAGCTGGGACGAATGTTAACCAAACCTTAACAGCAATTGGGCCTCAGAGAAAATAGCCCAAATAAAAAATCTCGTGTCTCAAAAACGAAAGAAAGTGAGAAACATGATGCTACGTGGAGAAAAACCCCCCATCCTCCTTAATGATGTGGACATCTTGAGAAAACAGATATCTCTACTTTATTAGTATAGATTGTTATTTTGACTTAACTATCTGTGTTTTAAACTTTTAATGTTGTGGGTGTGGACTTCATTTTCTATGTAAAAGGGTCCATGAGCTTTTGATTTTTCCTGTCAAAATATGCTAAAAAAATGAAAAACAAATTCCTATCCAAAAAAAAAAGAATCAATTCTTGATTATAAATATGTACGTATAGCTTTAACCATCATTTCAAAACATGCACTTTGCTGAAGCTGTTTATAATTAAGACGGCCAGATCTTATAAATGTCTAGTAATATTGAAAGGAAAAACTGAAACAAAGCAGAGCTCAGCAAATTCAAAACCAAGGATAGTGTAATTATACTTAATGACTTATAAACTTTTGTTTAATGAAAATGGAAGTGACTTCCTGTCTCGTCTCTGTTTCTCTTCAAAGACTTGGGCTCTGTTGTTGTCTCTGTCATGATCTCTCTGTTCTTAGACTCCACCAATGCTCCAAAGAATCAGACAATCTGAGAAAACTACAGAAGTTCCTTCCTCATCTTCCGTCAATGTGTTGAAATTATTCATCGTTGCTGACAACAAACAATCGAGTGATGATGGGTCTATCGAAGTAGCCCTGTTTGGAACATGTTGAATCTCATCAATGACTCAAAGATCAGACATGAAAAAGCTGCTAAGATTTGTGTTTATGATTGGTGAGAAGAAGAATCGAGTTCTTGCGGCATAAGCTCCTTTCCTCCCTACACAAAATCTGATCTTTGATGCTCCATGATTTTGCTCTCTCGGATCATTCCGTAGATAGCTTGCACGTATACCTTCCACTGTTTTGTGAGCTTCGTATACTTAAAGCAAAGAAATGAAAAACCACACGAATCATCAGTCCTAAAACGACAAACAACACGCATCAAAGAGAAACAATAACTGAGTCAATTACAGTCGGATCTTCGTAGTTGTTGGAAGAACATAAGGAGTTATTGGGCGGCGAGAACTCTGAATCGATAATACGGAGAATGAAGATGATGGTATTCTATCTATGTTAGACGGTCTAATTATCAATTTAACAAAGGCTCATCTTATTATATAAAGAAGAGTTTTCTTCACTCTTATGATGCCATGTCACTAAATAAGATGAAGAGAAAGTGACACATGGCATGCAATATTTATTCTTACACAAAAAAAATTAATGCTTACTATTAACAAAAATTTACTTTATGTGAATGCATTTATCAATTCTTTTTAAAAAGTATAAATCTTTTTATTTTGAGATAAAGAATATATTAAAATAAATCTTAGTATCCATGAATTAAAAAAATGTATATGGCTGATAAGAATCCATAATTTATATTCTTAGATATTTTATTATATTAACATTGAAAAATGTTAGGAATTACTTATATAATAAAATAAAAAAAATATAAATAGTAAAATTTAAAGTTATTATTATTTTCAATAAATTAAGAAAAATAAGATGCTCACTAAATTTGAATCTATATCTTATTATATAAAGTAGGCTTTTCTCTTATATGAGAGTGTCATGTCACTAATTAATCTCTTCTCAAGATGACATGTGTCATGGTTCTTGGTTAATCTTTTAATTTTTTGTTTGTTTGTTGGTTCATCTTTAATTAAGAATTTTTATGGCATCATTCAATGAATACACATTTTCTACATATTTACTGCAATTTTACTACAATATGTTTTTCTAAAAAATATTATATATAAATAGAATTATATGGGATAATTGGTAAGTTTTCTCGCAAAATCTCTACGTCTAACGTTTATTATTTTTATTCAGATTTCTTAAAAAGATATCTCAGATACTTTTGATTAACCAAAACGTCTTTGGCATCAGCTAATAATAAAAAAAATTGAATCACAACTGAAGATTAGATAAAAAAAATCGTATTGTGGCCTCAGTCACTGCTAATTCGGTTGTACGCATGAAGAAACCGAAACGATTTCTGACAGGAGGAGATCCCCCGCGAGTGGTCGACATAACTCATCGATCAAATATGAAAATGTATAAATGACTTTACAATAGTCTGATTAGATATTTTGTTAACTTTATTGAATATAGTTATTTAGAACTAACATTTAAATTAAAACTCAATTCAAAAAAATACTAGATATCAACAATAACTGGTTCTAGATTACTTAAAGTAATAAATCTTATAGTTCTTTTACTGGAAAATAATAATTCTTAAAGTTAAAAATACAAAAATAACAAATGTGGGTTTATAGCTCGATCTCTTTCATTAATAATCATTCATTTCTTTGGCAAACTATAGTTTTTTTTCTTTTCTTTTTTGAACACAAACTATAGTTTCTTCTTAAGTTCTGCATTTAATGACAAAAACAAATTAAATAATGTATTTTCATTAGAACTATATATTACTCCCTCTAATTTTTTTATTATTAAGAATTTTTTTGTTTCAAACTATAGGTAATTTTCTCATATCTAGGTAGCTTTTACATGGATATAATGTGACCAATCAAATAATGTCTATTTTTTTAGAATTAGTAAAATGTATTAATAAATACTATGTTCTAAAAAAATAACAACTTTCTTAATATTAATGTGTTTATTTTAAAATATTGTGAAATGGAAGAAGTAATACTGTATGTGAAAGTTTAGAAAAATCTCATTGACAAAAAAAAAACTTAGTTTATCGTATTTTGTTAATTTTTAGTAAAACTTTTAAACCCCTAAAAATAAAAGAAAAATAACAAAACATGCCACTTGGGTTTCAATTCAAATTAGCACTCTTTTCTTACCTCTTCCAATAAAACATGAACAATATCATCATACAACTTTAGTAAATAAGTATTTTTGTATTTAATTCTATTATCTCGAAACTTATGAATTTGTGTGGTCCTAAACAGGCTGTCTTTTAAGAATAATGATCTCCGAGAAAATTTATATATATTAACTAAACTATTCAGACAATACGATTGTTATTCTTTAAATACATTATTGTTTTTTAATAGTCATACCTCCTACAATTTGCTAAAGTATTTAGTAAGTAGGCTTTTCTCTTATATGAGAGTGTCATTTCACTAATTAATCTCTTCTCAAGATGACATGTGTCATGGTTCTTGGTTAATCTTTTAATTTTTTGTTTGTTTGTTGGTTCATCTTTAATTAAGAANTCAGATTTCTTAAAAAGATATCTCAGATACTTTTGATTAACCAAAACGTCTTTGGCATCAGCTAATAATAAAAAAAATTGAATCATAACTGAAGATTAGATAAAGAAATCGTATTGTGGCCTCAGTCACCGCTAATTCAGTTGTACGCATGAAGAAACCGAAACGATTCCTAGGATTCCTGACACGAGAAGATCCCCCGTGAGTGGTCGACATAACTCATCGATCAAATATGAAAATGTATAAATGACTTTACAATGGTCTGATTAGATATTTTGTTAACTTTATTGAATATAGTTATTTAATACTAACATTTAAATTAAAACCCAATTCAAAAAAAATACTAGATATCAACAATAACTGGTTCTAAATTACTTAAAGTAATAAATCTTATAGTTCTTTTACTGGAAAATAATAATTCTTAAAGTTACAAATACAAAATAACAAATGTGGGTTTATAGCTCGATCTCTTTCATTAATAATCATTCATTTCTTTGGCAAACTATAGTTTTTTTTCTTTTTTTTGAACACAAACTATAGTTTCTTCTTAAGTTCTGCATTTAATGACAGAAACAAATTAAATAATGTATTTTCATTAGAACTATATATTACTCCCTCTAATTTTTTTTATTGTAAATAGTATTAAGAATTTTTTTTGTTTCAAACTATAGGTAATTTTCTCATATCTAGGTAACTTTTACATGGATATAATGTGACCAATCAAATAATGTCTGTTTTTTTAGAATTAGTAAGATTTATTAATAAATACTATGTTCTAAAAAAATAACAACTTTCTTAATATTAATGTGTTTATTTTAAAATATTGTGAAATGGAAGAAGTAATACTATAAGTAAAAGTTTTGAAAAATTTCATTGACAAAAACAAAACTTAGTTTATCGTATTTTGTTAATTTTTAGTAAAACTTTTAAACCCCTAAAAATAAAAGAAAAATAACAAAACATGCCACTTGGGTTTCAATTCAAATTAGCACTCTTTTCTTACCTCTTCCAATAAAACATGAACAATATCATCATACAACTTTAGTAAATAAGTATTTTTTGTATTTAATTTTATTATCTCGAAACTTATGAATTTGTGTGGTTCTAAACAGGCTGTCCTTTAAGAATAATGATCTCCGAGAAAATTTATATATATTAACTAAACTATTCAGACAGTATGATTGTTATTCTTTAAATACATTATTGTTTTTTAATAGTCATACCTCCTACAATTTGCTAAAGTATTTAGTAAGTAGGCTTTTCTCTTATATGAGAGTGTCATTTCACTAATTAATCTCTTCTCAAGATGACATGTGTCATGGTTCTTGGTTAATCTTTTAATTTTTTGTTTGTTTGTTGGTTCATCTTTAATTAAGAANTCAGATTTCTTAAAAAGATATCTCAGATACTTTTGATTAACCAAAACGTCTTTGGCATCAGCTAATAATAAAAAAAATTGAATCATAACTGAAGATTAGATAAAGAAATCGTATTGTGGCCTCAGTCACCGCTAATTCAGTTGTACGCATGAAGAAACCGAAACGATTCCTAGGATTCCTGACACGAGAAGATCCCCCGCGAGTGGTCGACATAACTCATCGATCAAATATGAAAATGTATAAATGACTTTACAATGGTCTGATTAGATATTTTGTTAACTTTATTGAATATAGTTATTTAATACTAACATTTAAATTAAAACCCAATTCAAAAAAAATACTAGATATCAACAATAACTGGTTCTAAATTACTTAAAGTAATAAAACTTATAGTTCTTTTACTGGAAAATAATAATTCTTAAAGTTACAAATACAAAATAACAAATGTGGGTTTATAGCTCGATCTCTTTCATTAATAATCATTCATTTCTTTGGCAAACTATAGTTTTTTTTCTTTTTTTGAACACAAACTATAGTTTCTTCTTAAGTTCTGCATTTAATGACAGAAACAAATTAAATAATGTATTTTCATTAGAACTATATATTACTCCCTCTAATTTTTTTTTATTGTAAATAGTATTAAGAATTTTTTTTGTTTCAAACTATAGGTAATTTTCTCATATCTAGGTAACTTTTACATGGATATAATGTGACCAATCAAATAATGTCTGTTTTTTTAGAATTAGTAAGATTTATTAATAAATACTATGTTCTAAAAAAATAACAACTTTCTTAATATTAATGTGTTTATTTTAAAATATTGTGAAATGGAAGAAGTAATACTATAAGTAAAAGTTTTGAAAAATTTCATTGACAAAAACAAAACTTAGTTTATCGTATTTTGTTAATTTTTAGTAAAACTTTTAAACCCCTAAAAATAAAAGAAAAATAACAAAACATGCCACTTGGGTTTCAATTCAAATTAGCACTCTTTTCTTACCTCTTCCAATAAAACATGAACAATATCATCATACAACTTTAGTAAATAAGTATTTTTTGTATTTAATTTTATTATCTCGAAACTTATGAATTTGTGTGGTTCTAAACAGGCTGTCCTTTAAGAATAATGATCTCCGAGAAAATTTATATATATTAACTAAACTATTCAGACAGTATGATTGTTATTCTTTAAATACATTATTGTTTTTTAATAGTCATACCTCCTACAATTTGCTAAAGTATTAGTGCAAAATAGAGTACAAAAAATAATTGAAAATATCAAATGTTTATTAGAATTTGAATTTTTTTTCAATTATTTATAACGTGCTTACCCACCCGTAGGGCGGGTTTTACCTAGTAACTTATCATAGAGCCCATTACAAAACACAAAAAGTGAAGTTGAAAATCAGTAATGCGTTGGTTTCTCCTCTTACTAATTAGTGACATGATTTCTCTGGGAAGCAAAGAGAAATCTATTTTATAGTAATAGATAGATAGCTAGATAGATTTCAAGAAAAAAAAAGTAATTTAATATTTAATATATTTCAACAAATATTATTAGAAAACTAATTAACTGTTACGATAAGCTCGAAGAAACGTAACACACTTGACTACTAAAACACCTACCGTTTCTGGCTGGATTCACACACTGAAGAGTTGGACTTGCATGTTCCTATGTAAGAGAAAATCTGTAACGAGCGGGTGAAGAGATCGAGACGTGTGGATAAAGGAATCAAATTTAAAAAAAAATGGAGAAGAAGAAGGTACCAAAAAGGCTCCAAAGTAAGGTGGCGATCGTGACGGCATCGACACAAGGGATAGGCTTTGGTATCGTTGAACGGCTCGGACTTGAAGGTGCTTCTGTCGTCGTCTCTTCTCGCAAACAGGTCCTCTTCCAGTCCTCTGTTCTTCTTGGAGTTGACTATCTTGATTAATGTTTTTGGTTTGCTTTGCAAGAGTGAATCCAAGTTAGAAGATCTAATTTCAATAAGTAATTGTGTGCTTTTCAATTAAAATTGTGCAGAAAAATGTAGATGAGGCAGTAGAGAAGCTTAAAGCTCAGGGGATTGATGCATTTGGAATCGTTTGTCATGTCTCTAATGCTCAACATCGCCAGATTCTTGTCCAAAAGACAATTCAAGTATATGATGTCTCAGCTTTCTTCAACTTTTGTTGGTGTTTTATTCTTAAGTATCTTCCCTCCGTTTTGTGTTTCAGAGATATGGGAAGATAGATATTGTTGTATGCAATGCAGCTGTGAATCCATCTACAGATCCAATCTTATCCACCCAAGAATCTGCTCTTGACAAGCTTTGGGAAGTCAATGTCAAATCATCTATCCTTCTCCTTCAGGTAACCACTAATCATTTTGCTTTAGCTGGTTCATTGTAAAAGCTTTGACATTGGTATCTACGCTCCCCAAAGTAACTTGACATTGCAATGGTTATTTCTGATCAAAAACAGGATTTAGCTCCTCACTTAGAGAAGGGTTCTTCTGTAATCTTCATAACCTCCATTGCTGCATTTCAACCGCAAGTACCAACGTCAATGTATGGAGTTACCAAAACAGCTCTGCTTGGACTAACCAAGGTGTCATGATTGTCTATAGCCCTTAAGTATATATATATATATTTTTTGTTTCACTTATGATGATGGTGTTTCAACATGTCTCACTCACTAGTCCACTCTTCTTTTCAAGGCACTTGCTGCTGAGATGGGACCAGACACAAGAGTAAACGCTGTAGCTCCTGGTGTTGTGCCAACACACTTTGCCTCTTTCATCACCCGAAACTCTGAAGTGGTTTGTTTGTTTGTTAAAGAAACTGTCTTGTGTGGGAGCAAATAATATTAAAGTTTTTCTTCTCATTCATGATTTTGATGTGTGTTTTTTCATTTCACAGAGAAGAGCCAATGAGGAGAAAACTCTGCTCAACAGACTGGGAACAACGGAGGACATGGCTGCTGCAACGGCTTTCTTGGCCTCTGATGATGCATCTTACATCACCGGAGAAACTTTAGTGGTCGCCGGAGGAATGCCCTCCAGGCTCTGAATCAGAATCCCCCCCCCCCCCACTAGTTTATGAACAAGAAAACCACACATTTGTACTGTTGTGTGATCATGTTGAATGCTTTAATTTCTCAGTTTGAATAGTAGTCAAATGGAACATATCTTATCTACCAAAGGTTACTTTCATGACAATTTACGGCAAAAAAGAGTCCAATCATCTATCCTTCTCCTTCAGGTATAAATATATAAGAACACATTTTATTTGATAAAAAGAACACACTCGAGAAACTCTTGTATCACTTTGCTACTTCATCGAAATGAATTCACTTGACAAAAAAGCAACACATTCGAGAATCAACATACTACTAGATTACCAAGCCCATCTCCTCCTATGCATGAAACTAAATAATCAAAGTTTATTTTACAAACTATCCTTTACTCTGGTGGCATGTTACACACTTTACATGGTTATTCTTGCAACTTACGTTTACGTACGTCTCCTGACAAAGGGTTTCTTACAGGTGTATTAACCTTGGCTAGTGTTCTGCTTTACCCTGAAACTCTTGGAGGAGGTGCAGCCTTTACTGGATGGGTTCCATTAAATTATTCAAGCATCAATCAGTTTCCTGAAAATGCTAAAAAGTTTTTTAATTGTATTCTTCTCGTCACTGTTTCTTGGGGATTTCTGAGTCTTTCTAGACTGTTTCATATGCGACACCAATCTTGTGGTCTCATGGCATTAATGACAAGACTGTAATATTTGAAGCTGGTCAAGCAGCTCTTACTTTGCTTCAACAAGCTGGTGTTACTTGTGGAGTCAGGGATCAAACAACGGGTGCAGGGTTTTCTTTTCTTCTTCTTAAAAGCTTTTTTGGACGTTTTCTTAGAAATGATATCGGAAAGCCATATGAACACACTTACATAAACTCCACATTCTCTGCATAGTCTATGAATGTATCTATATAATTTTTCACCTTAGCCTCTTCAACTTCAAGTCCCTCAATTTTGACTCTTGTAAAAGTATTTCTCTCCATATTGTAGAAGACAAGGCGACACGAGCTGGCTGGGAGGTGCGAGTACGTCGAGAATACAATTTCATCTGTACCAGTCACTCTCGGAAGGAGACAATTCCAAGACATGCTTGAACCATTTCTGATTTCCAGCATCTTCTAGAATCCACAATACAAATTTATTCTCATATCTCTTATAGTTGTTACGATGTATACCTAATTTACCTCTGTAGTTGAAAAGTTCCAAAGAACCAGGAAGACAAGAACTCTCTTGTTCCATGACTTCATCTGTGTTTATAAAGCAGAACTTGTCAGACCTAACGTCAAAGCATACCATAACAGTAGATTTCCCGAACTCTGCTCCGAAATACAAAACACCATTAAACATATAGAACCATATAATATTCTACGGTTTTTCACAGAATGGAATTTGCGTTCCACCGTTCTCCATAAAAGGCTTTCGAGACTCTAGCGTCAAAACCAGATGAGTAGTTAGTCTTTCATCATATGATGAAGAGATCATACACAACACTTTGAACCGTTTTCCGACCGGATCATATCCTAAGCAATACATTTTTGAAATTTCCTTGGGGGTTTGGTAAGTTTTTTTCTTCTAGAAGAATTTTGGGTAAGGTTAGGAACTCTCCAGTGGCAGGGTTACAAATCACCGGCTCCCGCAGGAGCAATGCCAATCCACAGACTGGTTTAGATATACGAGCAAAAAAATATGAGGCTGAGGTGAAGAGTAGAAGAATAACTTGCCATTAGATTCTACGGTGAAAAGGAGCGGAGGACGAGTCAAAGACTGTCAAAAACAACTCAGTGAAATCAGAACGGCGAAGTACGGATGCCCAGTGTTTCGAGACACAACGAAACCTTGCTGCAGACTTTCCCGTGACAAGAGAGAATATACTGATAACCAAATTCCAGACATTTAGATCAAAAGGACAGTGGAAAAATAGATGTTTAATGGTTTCATCACTTCCACAGTGTCCTGTTAGGATATGTCTTGCTTCGAGTCTATCACCAACCGGGAGAGCTCCATGCTTAATTTTGCCAGATAAATAACTTGAGTTTAGGGGCTGTTGTTATCTTCCATATCTCATTTAACCCTTCTTGTGAATTTGTTGCCTCTGAATTGATGTCGAGTTGGTGCTGGTGTTTTTCACGAGCTGAGTAGTACCCTTCCTGTCTTAGTTGTATAAGCACCAGACTTATGTTTCAACCATATTTGCTTGTCATACCCGCCCTTTTTACTTGGTTTAATGCTTAGAATGTTTCCCATCAGCAGTGGAAAGGATCTTTACTCTCTGTCCCAGTCTTTAGTTTCCCATTAGGTCTCATATGCATTTACATCGCTCTCGATCGGTTTCAACAATCAGAATTAAATTTAATTATATTATTGGTGAATTGTTACCATCTCTGGACCTGATTGATATTACCCTCCATAGCTGATCTGACAATTAAACAGGATGTGTTTGTCACAATGAATATTCATTTATATGAATGGTTTTGATTTGGTTTTGATTGAAGCAGCCACTTTGTCTAAACACGTTCAAAAAGTACCTGAGACACATTGAAAGACAGCTTGTTCTATAAACAAAATAATTGATTAATGCGGCCATGAAAGGCTGCTCATACAACTATAAACATACAGTGCACATATCAGGCCGCACTTGTCAGAGCTTCTCGAACAGAGGGTTATTACTCCAGTATCTGACACAATAAGTAATATTAAAAAAACAAAAGCAAAGGAGAGAAAGTGATACTCTCGGCAAAAAGATCTTAAACAACATCCCGAACGACGGCATAGTCGGTTGCGGACTCCTTCTTGTTGGAGTAAGCTTGAAGTAACTTAAGAAGCAAGTTACCTAATCCTAATAAGTTAAGATCGTTGATAAGGATTAGGAAATATTCTAATATGTTAAACCTAATGAGTTTAGGAAAGTTTGATTCATATATAAAGAGATTGCTGAGTTGTAGCATCCTTTGAGAGTTTGTGAGATTGTTTTGAGAGAACTTGAGTTTTGAAGAATTTTCTCAAGTGATTAATAAGAGAAGCAACTTCTTATTAACGTGTTCTTATTAACAATCGTGTGACTATATTTGGTATCAGAGCTGCTGGAACCGATCAACTGAGGCAACATGGGAGATATTGTTATCTCAAAGACAAAGGAAGGAGGAGGATCTACGACAATAAGCTGTCCTGTTCTTACAGCAACGAATTATGCTGTGTGGACAATACGGATTAGGTTACTGCTAAAGGTAAACAAGGTTTGGGAGATGGTGGAGAACGAATCAGAAGATAAAGAGAAAAACGATCTAGCCACAGCCCTAATTTTTCAGTCGTTACCAGAAACGCTCATACTTCAACTAGGTGCTTGGATACTGCAAAGAAGGTCTGGGACGCGATCAAAGAGCGTTACATGGGAGCAGACCTAGTCAGAGAAGCAAGACTGCAAACATTGACATCTGATTTCGAGAAACTAAAGATGAAAGAAAGCGAAACTATTGATGATTTTGTTGGGAAACTGACAGAGATATCTACAAAGTCGACCGCTCTGGGAGAAACCATCGAAGAACATAAGCTCATGAAGAAGTTTCTATCTTGCCTCCCACAGAAGAAGTTCATACAAATGGTTGCAACTGTTGAACAATTTTGTGATCTCAAAACCACAAAATTTGAGAATATTATTGGGAGATTTAAAGCTTACGAGGAAAGAGTGAAAGAAGAAGAAGAAGAAACTCAGAGTAAACTCATGTTTGCTAACAACGAAACTCAATCTCAACCACAACGCACTCAACCTACCCTAAACACCAACACTCGTGACTACAGCAGCAACTACAGAGGTCGTGGACGTGGTGGACGTTATCATAACCGAGGAAGAGGCCGTGGGAGATACAATGAGAGGTATTATCAGGAGCCCTTCGATATGTCAAAAATTCAGTGTTTCAGATGCGACAAGATGGGTCACTTCGCCTCAACATGTCCTGACCGTCTACTCAAACTACAAGAAGCAATTGAAAGAAAGGACGATGATACAACAGAAGCCGAGGATCTAATGATGCACGAGACTGTCTATCTTAACGAGAAGAACATTCATCCACAAAATTTTGAGACAAGATCAGATCAAGACAATGTCTGGTACCTAGACAATGGAGCGAGCAATCACATGACTGGAAATCGAAGGTACTTTAAGTCAATTGATGAATCAGTTACATGAAAAGTAAGGTTTGGGGATGATTCAAGGATTGACATTAAGGGTAAAGGACCAATACTGTTTTGCACAAAAGATGGGTTAAAGAAGATATTGGCAGACGTCTACTACATACCAGACCTAAAGAGTAATATAATCAGTCTAGGTCAAGCCACTGAATCTGGGTGTGAAGTTAGGCTGAAGGAAGATTATCTAACATTACGAGATAAAGATGGAAAGCTCATAACCAGAGCAAAACGGTCCAAGAATCGCTTGTATAAAGTGATGATTGATATGGTTAACGAGCAACATCTTCATCTCTCGTCTACTAGTGAGTCAGCAATGTGGCACGCAAGGCTAGGCCACATAGGAAGAGAAGCAATGCGTACAATGGCAACTAAGGAGCTTGTATACGGTCTGCCAAAACTCACGATCGAGAAGGATATATGTTCTTCATGTTTACTTGGAAAGCAAGCAAGACATGCTTTCCCACAAGCAACTACATACCGAGCTGAGCAGACTCTTAACCTCGTACATGGAGATCTCTGTGGACCAATTAGCCCAGCTACACCATCACAGAAACGTTACATATTTGTTCTCATCGACGATTATTCTCGTTACATGTGGACAGTACTTTTAAAGGAGAAAGGAGAGGCGTTCGGAAAGTTTAAAAAATTCAAGGCTATAGTTGAGCAAGAAACAGGGGCAGCCATCAGAGTATTCAGAACCGACCGGGGAGGAGAATTTGTATCAAACGAATTCCAAGCATTTTGCGAAACAAATGGGATAACTAGGCATCTGACAGCTCCTTACACTCCTCAACAAAATGGAGTTGTTGAGAGAAGAAACCGAACTTTGTTAGGTATGACAAGGATTCTATTAAAACACATGGATTTGCCTAACTATCTCTGGGGAGAAGCAGTGAGGCACGCCACTTACCTCATAAATCGTGTTGCAACCCGTGTCATCAAGTCTCAAACTCCATACGAAGTGCTCAAGGGTAAGAAACCAAGCATCAAGCACCTGCGTGTTTTCGGATGCATTGGATACGCCAAAGTAGATTCCCAACATCTCAGGAAGCTTGATAACAGGTCACGAGCACTAATACATCTAGGAACTGAGCCAGGATCAAAAGCCTATAGGCTGTTTGATCCAATGAATAAAAAAGTGGTGGTAAGCAGAGATGTCGTATTTGATGAAAGTAAGAGATGGGATTGGACAAGTTGCAGTAAAGAAGATAAAACAGGAGTACTTCGTATCAGCTTTGGACAGTTTGGGAATCATGGAATCGACGAAGATGAGTTTGCTACAAACACAGCTAATAACGAAGAAGAAATCATAACAGAAGGCCAAGACACCAACATAGAAAACCAAGACGACGATGAGACTGAAGAAACGATCGATCAAGGTCAAACAGAGACAGACCTAAGGCGATCTCAGAGAGAAAGAAGAAAACCAAGTTATTTGGATGATTACATATTATTAGCAGAATTTGATGGGGAACGACTTTTGTTGAGCATAAACAATGAACCATGGAGCTTTAATGAGGCCAGAGACAAGAAGGTCTGGTTAGATGCATGTGAGGATGAGATAAAATCTATAGTCAAGAATAAAACATGGGATTTGGTGGAGCTTCCAGCAGGAGCAAAAGCAATCGGACTAAAGTGGATTTTTAAGCTGAAACGTAACTCTGATGGAAGCATCAACAAATACAAAGCAAGACTCGTAGCAAAGGGTTATATACAAAGACATGGTGTCGATTTCGACGAGGTATTCGCGCCCGTAGCACGCATTGAGACTGTCCGTTTGCTACTTGCCTTGGCAGCATCCAGAGGATGGCAGGTACACCATTTAGACGTCAAGACAGCCTTCTTGCACGGCGATTTGAAAGAGGAAGTATATGTTTCACAGCCAGAGGGTTTTGAGGTGAAAGGGAAGGAAAACAAGGTTTACAAGTTGAAGAAGGCACTGTACGGGTTGCGTCAAGCCCCGAGAGCATGGAACGAGAAATTAAATAAAGTACTTGGGAATTTGAAGTTTGCAAAGTGCTCAAAAGAACCAGCTCTGTATCGTCGTCAAGATCGTGAACATGTGTTACTTGTAGCAGTCTATGTCGATGACCTTTTAGTAACAGGGACTAGTCTTGAATTGATCATTGAGTTTAAGAAGGAGATGTCCTCTACTTTTGAGATGAGTGACTTGGGAAGGTTAACCTATTATCTAGGTATTGAAGTTGATCAGCACGAAGAGGGGATTATGTTGAGACAAGAAAGATACGCCATGAAGATATTGGAAGAAGCAGGTATGCGCGACTGCAACATTGTTCACGTGCCTATGGACCAAAGCTTGAAGATGTCTAAAGCAGAGAAAGAACAGA